AAGACAGTATTGCCGGGGATTTAGCTCAGTGGTTTCGCTGCCTGCTGCGCAAGTGCAAGGACCCGAGTTCAATCCCTGGTACAAAAAAAAAAAAAAGAAAGACAGTATTTATTGAGCTTATCTTGCTAAGATGTTCACATCTAAAATATAAAAATTTCTAAGCCTGGCCTGCTCAGTCCCCAGTTTTCAGCCAGATGTTTGTAACTTCTCAAGATAGTTTAATGAAAGAATGAACCAAGTTTCAAACTTTGTTCAGCTGTTAGTTGCAAAAAAGTATTGTTGCAAGTACTGAAACAGAACTTGACCCATTTAACCAATTGAGAGACACTTTTGCCTATGAAGATTGGCAGAACTTTTTAAGCAGAATGCTAACTTGCCATTTCTTGTGTCTCTATTCTCTAATTTAATTCACTGACAAGAAATTGGCCCCGCAATTTCCTATAAGAAAACTTGTTAATACTTCACTGGTAGCCCTCCCCAAAATGATTCTTCATGTTATTATTTCCACTCCAAGGAGCATTTTTATTTCTCCCATGTGACAGTGTTCCTGCTTTGCATTCAATTCTCACCCTCACCTCACCCCCAGGAGTTTTAAAGCCTGATAGCAGATAAACTCTGGTGGCTTCTTAAACTTATTTTATTCAAGGGTAAGTGAGATTTATAGGATGCATCTTCATTATTTAGATATATTAATATTTATGTCTTCATATAGATATGTATACCCTCAGGCACTTTTTAAAAGACAAACTGATTAATACCTAATAGATTAAAAACATCCTCCCACATAATTTTTTTCTGTCTACTTGTGGGTTTACAAACTTTATTTCCTTACAGTATGACTTATCTTTCTACACTTGTGAGATAAAGATTAAATTTTAGAGCAAAGAATTAACACTTTGGCTTCTGGGGGCATTATTCCAGGCCTATTGTTCCATATAGTCTTTTATTTTAGAAGTTACTAAATGTCCTGTTTTTTCCTGTCTTGTTCACTGGGCAAACAGGGGTAGATGGTCCCCCTCCCTAGATAGGAGATGACCTCCTAGCCCCAAGGATTCAAATCCAGCATGCATCTCCAGAGAATGTCAGGTACTAGTCACTTCCTCTCAGACAAGTGGCTTCTAGAAACCGGGAGGCCACCTGGTGAAGGATAATCAAGACAAAGGTTGGTTATGACATGCTTCCTGTCAGGAGCCCGAGCCAGATGCGCCGTGACTCCGTCACCAATCACACCCAACTCTCCAAAGCACCTCAGAATATTCACTGAGAGGGAAGCAGTATAGGAAATTCTAGAGTTGGGATTCTGTCAAAGAGTCCTGTTCAGTACACACTTATTTCAGTGCTTTGAATTTCTAGAAACATATTCATGTATTGGTTTTGTTTACAGGTGGATACATAAAAATTCTCAGGTGCTTTAGAGTATATTAACATCTATCACAGTGCCTACTCTTGGTTATACTGTATTTTTTGATGGTTTAATCTCAGTTGTTGTGTTTTGTTACTATGTAAGCTTATCAGTGATGCAGTTTAGGCATTGCAGTATGAAAAACGAGGGGTATAAAGTAGGATAT